GCTGTATTTTATTGAATAATTTGAACATATTCTTTATTGGATATTATATGAAATATTTAAAATAGAATATTAATCAATAAATATCAGTAATACAGGAAAATACATTATTGCGATACAGTATCCATAACATGATCATAACGAATAGTGTTTTCAATATAGTATCAAGCCAATCCAATCTAAAACATCAAAAATATTAACGTCTTACATATTATTTTAGCCCTGTATTATTCGGTAATACTTAATAAAATATTGATAAATAATCGAATACACGAAATATTGTAAAGTAAGATTGAAAATCTAAACTACACGTAATTATGGAATCATCAACATAACTGTGTTTGATTCCAGAGTTAGATCAATTTAATTAAGAAGCGTCTTCGTGAGGAATATTGACATAAATTTAACAATCTTTGAAAATCCGTAGCACAGAAAATATCAAGACAAGCACTTCTCGAAATTGAAAGTATCGATTATACTGATACCAAATGCTAATTGTGATCAGTTGACACAGATTCTCGGCGTGTTTTATAAAAATTTATGAAAGTATTTAATACAGTCGGGTTACATCATGTGTAGTAATTTATAGGTGATCAATGGGCTATGTTGTATTGCGAATGATAAGAAATGTTTTATATACATAGTGTATCGTGCGCTATCACTGTTTTGCTTGAATTTTCTAGAATTTACTTCCATGAGATAAGTTTCTTTGCATTTGCGTGTGGCTTGCATGAATCAGAAGCCTTGCATTACAGCCTTTTCACGCAGCGAATAAAATTGTCTATTTTCGTTATTTACAATCTGATATGAATAAATCTGATGATCGGTGAGTTTACTATGCGAATACCAAATTGCGTAAATGCAATAACATTAAAGTACAATGAGATATATGTATGTATAATAAAACTTGTTTTTTAATTTGTTTGCAAAGTTATTAGGGACTACAGAATTATTAGGAATTTGAAATGTAACAGTAAAACTATTTTCTATTCTTTGAGGTGCACCTTACCTTTTACAATGACGTTTGGCTGCTTCTAGATCATCCATGTTTTCGTTCAGTAAGTAAATTTTAGCACCGATTATTGCATTCCTGCAAATAAGAATTGATGTCGATAATATAAATAAACAGAACATTATAAAAGTATAATGCATAATTATATTGCATAATTATAATACATATAAGTATGTAGGACTCACTTAACGAACTCGCGGTTGTCACATTTTTTGTAGTTCATCAAAAAGTCTTTGTGATTATTACTGACAATATTACTGATTTCAGTTAAGACTTTTGTATTATCAAATTTCCAGTTGTTTGATAGGAAATACTTCAAGGCCTGGTTGGCAACGTATATTTTTCTTTGCAATTTGAAAACCCTAGCAATATTAAATATTTTGAAATTTAAACGCCCATTGAATTAGGACCTAGGCAAGGTGGTGGCCATTAAATAGCTTAGTGAATCCATATATCGTATTTTTCCTACTCTGTACTGTGCGCCGTTACTATTCGACATACAGGGTGTCCTGAAATTCGCGAATCAAAATACCATAGCAAGAATGTCGTCGAAAAAATAACTTTTCAATTTATTTTTTCGACGACATTCTTGCTATGGTATTTTGATTCGCGAATTTCAGGACACCCTGTATAACACAGATTTTCCCCTCGGTAGGATCATTCTCGTCAGTGAATTCACATGTTCTAAAAATCGCAGAACGATTTTTATAAATTATTTTAATTTAATTTTAATGCTATACTTAGCATTGG